CCTCGTAAACTGAATGCTGAAAAAGCTACTCGGGAACTGTCTGCTGCTGCTCCGGTATCTCCCCGGCTACAATTCCCATAAATACACTCGATCAAATACTGATAACTAAACTGAGGGTGAAATGACTATTTTACCCCCGGTCAAAGTCAACTTCCTGGTCAAAGTCAACTTCCTGGTCAAAGTCAACTTCCTGGTCAAAGTCGACTTCCAGTTGACCGGACTCGCTGAGTTGGTCCGCCAACTCGCCGAGCCCCTTTTATCCATTCTAGTCCTCTACTTGCTTCTACTCGCCGAGTTTGGCGAAGACTCGACGAGTTCCTCTTCGATATGTACATCGAGTCTATCATCATCCAAATCGCCGAGTTGTATGAACAACTCGTCGAGTTCTCCTTCATCATATGAACACGTCCAATCTGCGACTCGCCGAGTCGTAAGAACAACTCGTCGAGTCTGAAGAACAACTCGTCGAGTTGAAGAACAAATTGCCGAGTCCCAAGCATGCTATTACTATACAGTCGATTCTAATCGATTTCAGTGCTTCCAAATCATAGATCTAGGCTCTTAGGGTTGGTTTTACACGTAAAGTTTCCAACTTTACGTGCATGCATGAATAAATGAGGCTAGAACATCAAAATAAGCTAAGAATGGGGTCTTAGGGTTTGGAACTCGACCTTGGGTGCATAAAGGCAGCTACTTTGAGCTCCTACAGCTCAAATATACTCAGGTCTATGATCCATTTCCTTATAGGAGTCCCAATCTTGAGTTTGGATCCAAAAAGTCCCAAAAAGAAGCACATCTAAGCATACAAGACTGTCAAATGGAAATAACAAGCAAGGTACAAGCTTTAGTACCAGGATGTGAGGCTGATGATCAAGAGACTCTAGATCTTCTTCTTCTCCTTTGGATCTTCCTTCTTTCTTTCTCTTCCAAAACCTCCAAACTAGCACAAACACACTCAAGCTCAACAATGGGGGCTAGGGTTTACAGGGGAAATGCTATAAAGGTGCTGGAGGCTGGGGTGGGAGGCTATAATGACGTTTATATAGGATACAAACCCATGAAATCAGGGCTTCATCCAGACAGGCAGACTCGCCGAGTCCCTTCATATGGACTCGCCGAGTAGTCAACTTAAAATGCGTGAACATCCCGTCACTACTCGACGAGTTGGGCTACAGACTCGTCGAGTATCCCTTAAGAAAATGAAAATTACTTTATTTAAATCACATACCAGAAATGGGGCGTTATATGGGGGTTGTTGGAGTAGGTTCGCTTAGATGAGGAGCGGTATGGCTGGAGATGTCGCTCAAGAATGGAGGGAATCGACGTGTTTAGGGGAAAATGAACTGGTCGGACCTCTCAAATATGCAAAACAAATACTCTGACTCAGACCAAATACTGAAAAAATTAGAGAAATATTGAAACTCAAAGATCGAATTATTTTGAAAAACTAACGGTTAGGTTACGTTTAGTTGCGGAAAAATGAGTCGTTTTCCGGAAAAAAATTCCAAGAAAAAATGAGAATTATGAAAACGTGTTTAGTTCGTCTGTTGTTCTACATTTTTCACGGAAAATGAAAATTTTCCGTCTTCTAAAATTACAAAGAAGTTGAGTTTGGTTAGACGGCTTGTGGAGAAGAAAATATATATTAGTCGTTAAAGCTATTTTTAATAGTCAGAAATTATGTTATACTTTGTGAAAATAATTTTTCTAAAAGTAATGATTTTTTTTAAAAACTTTTTTTAGTTATCAATGATTTTTCTGAAAATAAAAATTAAATATGACTGGCTTTTAAAAAAATAATATAAAATGAAGTGTTTTTTTAAAAAAAAATGCGGTTATTCTTATACTATAATTTAGTCAAATTCACGGGACTAGATACAATTTCTACCATTGTAACTTGACTTTTGATTATATAACTCCCTGTATGAACTAGTTTCTTGCTTAATTTGTTCATATATGTGGTGGTGATTCAAATATCAAATCTCAATCTACATGTCGCTAGCATAGGCCAATTCACATGCAAACCCATATAATTTCCTTGTATTTGTTCACTCTTGTCTATACAATATGAGGATATACCAAATAAAAACCACAAATAAGTTCTGGTCTGATTATAACTGTCATTCTCTAAGGCCAAAATCAAATAAAATCATATTTCCACTCATTATTGTTACTAGTGTTAATCAAATATACCTAACAAGTAACAAGTCTATATAAATTGGGATTATCAAACCATAAAATATGATTAAGAATATATTGTTTGATGTTATTGGCCTCAAAAGCGACCATGTCAATGGAAACAAAGCTTTAATCGGTATTTTCTATGTATTTAATATTATTTTATACCATAAGTTTATTTTTGCATGCCTGATAATTTAATGAGCAATATCTACATAAGATAATCAAAATTCAAAGAATTGTAAGATATCAATGATATTAACAAGAGCATATATCACATCTTCCTAACTTAAAAAACCATAATGACATTATTAAAGTTAACTCGACATAGTTAAATTATAAAAAATTAGTAAAAAGTATATATAATATTAAAATCATTTCTATTTAAACGTAAATAAGTAAGCATAAAATTAGTAAAATGCTAACAAATTACAATGAGCGTGTTTGGCACGGAGCGTTTGGGAGCTTCTAGCTTTTAGCTTTTAACAAAACGCTCCAAATCTAAAAGCTACTTCATGTAGCGTTTAACAAAACGCTACTGAGCTTTTAAAATCATTTTTCATAATTACCCTTAAAAATATATTTATATATTTATTTATTTTTAATCAATTGTCATTTTATGTAATTTATATATTTCAAAAGTTACCAACTACTTTTGACAAACACTCATATAACAAATAAAAGCTACAATTTTCCGCTACCAGCTACCCGCTACACGCTACCAACTACCCGCTACCAGCTAACCGCTATCCGCTTCCAGCTAACAGCTATTTTTGCCGAACACGCCCAATATATGTATAATTATACTTGTATTTTAATAAAGATAAAATTAAACTGGATAAATCAGAAAATGTATGTGATTTTGTATTTCATATATTATAAACAGTTTTCAATAAAAATTATTTGAGATATCTTAAACTTTCTATAAAACGTATCTTGGATTTTTTTTTTTACTATTTTCTTTAATTTGCAACCATTTATCTTTTTTATAATACGTACTTAAATCAAAATACCTTTACAATAAATAAAATGCAAATATAAAATTTAATAAAATCTCAAGAAAAAAGAACAAGAAATTTCCAATGATCTCTCCTAGTTCTTAGAAGTCATATACATGTATCATCATCTTTTATAATTATATTTCACTTTTTTGTCTTTAAATTCACGAGATCAAAGTCTTTATTTTTATATTCAATTTAAACAAAAAAAGAAAAAGTTGAAAACACATTTGACATAAAATACCTCCATGTTTCGTCGTCTCTGCTCAATCTGGCCCACTTTCCTTGTTAAGTAAAGGTGTTCTGTCATTACTAATAAGGGGGAAAATACAAATGTAGCCAATATCCTTGATTACTTAACAAAAATTAGCCAAAAATAGCTCATAAAAGAGTAGTCAACTGCAAGTTGACTACTGTTTCGCCAAATCGTCTACTGTTTCGTTTTTGTATAATTTTTTTTTTTCATTTTTAGGATACAAAACCGTAGGTTTTTTAAAACCTACGGTTTCCTCTCGAAAACCTACGGTTTCCCCAAAACAGTAATTAAAACCCCCAAAACAGTAGATTAAAAAAAAAAAAAAAAAAACGTATTTTTTCACCCAAAACCGTAGCTACGGTTTGGGAAACCGTAGGTTTTAAAAAATCTACGGTTTTGTATCCTAAAAATGAATTTTTTTATACAAAACACGAAACAGTAGACGATTTGACGAAACAGTAGACGAATATCGAAACCTACGGTTTCGTGGGCTATAATTGGACATTTACTAATTTTTGGCTATAAATTGCTAATGACTTCCTTAATTTGGCTAGATTAGTAATTGCCCCTACTAATAATTTTGACTCTATATCAACATTTTAAGTTATTATTGAAGTGTTTAATGACTCCACATACTTATATTATTTATATTTAATAATATACATAAAGTCATAAACATAGTTTTATGGATCCTCATAAAAATCATTGTTAAAGCTATGTGAAGTGTAAAAAAGATTTGAAGTTATAAATAACAATATTATTTTCTATTTGTTCATTTTATATTACTAAACTTTTTCATATATACCAAATTTAATGTGAATGATGTGATGTTGCTATGTTTATATGGAATTTTTTAATTAAAATGTAATATTTATATCATTTAATTAGTATTAAGGCTTTAATAAACACTTTAATTTTTGTGGTATTGTATTATAAATTCATGACTCCTATAATAAACACTTTGGTAATCATACCCATCATACCCATTATATTTGTAATTAAAACTTACAAAACTAATATACTTATAAAAATAAAGAGAAAGAACACCAAAAATGTCTGGTGTTATATTTTTTATTTTTATTAGATGCATTATGATTATTCTAGAGGTAAATAAATAAATAAATAAAATAGTCATAGTATTTTATTTAATAAATAAATAAATAAGTAGCCGTTGGAGATTTTTCCTCTATTTAAAGATCCCTTGAGTTGGTATATGAATGATTCATTCAGCAAAACGAGCTGTCTTTTATAAAAACAGACAAAACCCCATTTCGGGTGTTCTTCATCTCCAGATCCCCTTTTCTATGTCAAATTTCTTCATAATTTAACAAGAGATTCAATTTGAATTCAGTAGTTCATTAATCTTATGTTAGAATTTGTTTCCTTTATATAACTTTCAGTGAAATCCGTGTATATTAGCTTCTTAGTTGGTTTTTAAGTTTCATAAGTATTATCTCAGCTTTTGATCCGTGTTTATTTGAGATCAATCAAAGCTTCTTCGACTGTTTTTTCCAAAAAATCTCTTTCTATCTTAATCTACTAAGTTTTTTATTAATCAGATTTTGGAAATGGAGGCAGTTATGAGGAACTCATCCAGCGATTACAAGCACCGGATCGGAAATCCTAAAAGGAATTTTGGTAGTAACCGTGCTTTGGTTTCGTATCCATCTGATAATCAGCTTCTGACGAGCTTTCTCGCCGCCGGATACTGTGGCGGAGGCGGTTTAATGTCTATGCCTCCGTCGTCTCTCTCTCATTCGTACCCGCCGCTTTTCGGTGGACGGCAGAATCTCCAGTACCACAGTCAACAGCCGCCTCTTCTTCCCCTTCCACTCCCACTGCCGCTAAATCATCTGAATATGAATATCCATCGTAGCAATAGTTCTTCTAACAATAACATCCGATTATCACCTCCTCGAATCAACAAAAGTGTCAAAAACCGAGGGCGAGATCATTCTCTCACACCAAAAAAATCAAAAAATCAAAAGAAGGATATCAAGAGAGAGGAAAGGGATGGGGATCTGCTTCCACCGGCCACGACCGAGAAGAAGGAAGCGCCACCGGCGGAAAAGTGTTCAACTGAATCCTCGATTGACGAGATGATGGGACCAGATCCGAAGGAACTTCCGAAGGATGTTATTTCTAGGGTTTTCTCATCCTCGCTTAACAACTCCTGTGAAATTGTTTCTCTTCCTGATGATAAGTTTTCAGGTTCTGTTGTGTTTACTCCTTCTCCACCTCCAAGCAGCTTGCCTTTGCCTACTTTTTCACTCCGGCCAAAGCTCAGTTGCAAAGCCGAGGCGGCCGCAGCAGGATCTGTTATCGATACCGGAGCTACTGATAGCCTCCGACGCCTTCTCCGACTCCGGTAATTTGATTAAGCTGTGTACTTTTGTTGCTGCTGTTCCTTTATGCATGCCACTGTAGTACATAATTAGAAGGTATAAAAGAAGAAAAAGAAAGGCTATATTTTGATGCTTTTTCTGATCTTCTTCTCCCCTTTTTCTAAATTAAAAATGAAATTGTATGATTATTAGGGTTCTTGCGACTCTTGTGTAATTTCCTGTAATCTGTGTTATCTGCCTGAGTTTTTTTCTTGGCAGTGCACAAGACTAATTTTCAATTTGTAATGAAATGCTGTTTCAATATTTCCTTCTTCTGTTAATCTTGTAATGATCTCAAATTTATGAATGTTTCCTTTTTGAGGTTCAAATTAAAAAAGATATGGTGTTATTTTTATTCATACAATGATACAATCAATATGATAAACCAGAAGTACAAGCTCCATTTAATAAAAGATATATTGTTCAACAAATCAACAAAAAATGATAACTATTGGCTGCCAAATTGTCTATTAAAATTTTCAAATAAAATAAAGTAACTTTATTTTTATTATTTATTTTTAATGTCAATCATCTGAAAACAGTTTTTTATAAGTTGATATAAATTCATTTTTATTATTTATTTTTAATGTCAATCATCTGAAAACAGTTTTTTATAAGTTGATATAAAGAATAGTTGGCATTTTTTTTTAACTTGGATAGAACGATTTAATTTTAATGAGTAATATTCGAATAAACAGTTTTTTATAAGTTGATAAACTTGATCAATATTTGTTGAAATTGATAACAATTTAGTTTAGAAAAGAATTAACATTTTATCAGACAACGGAACCAATCGTGTGTTGCAAAGAATTAAGATTATATTGTTAAAGTATAGTCATAGATAAATGTATGTCGTTAAATAAATTTTGACAAAAATATTTTAAAATCTATAGATTTATACTACCAAAATTTGTACATGAATTGTTTTAATTTAATTTAACTCTAATTATTATAACGATGGTTTATTCGTATATCAATCATTTTTCTCGAGAAATAAAATTGTGTATATTTTATATATTTTTTAATTTTTTATTATTAAATGCTAACTTTTGATGATGATGATTCTCAAATCCATCAACTAAATACTCATTTTACTTATATAAGCCAGAGAGAGTAGTGTCACACATATCACATTAAGGTGATATTTCTTTACTGCAGACCACATCTGATTATAGCCCTCTACAGCAGAACATATGGATCAAATGTCTACGGTCTGCAATAAGAAATTTGTTTGTTTTTTAATATTTGTATGTTGCTTAAATAAATTAAAATTTAAATAGACTGATTTTACAAACTTAAAATAACTTTTCAACGCCGAAATTTTAATAATTATTGTCTTACAACATTGAAATAAAATTCATAGCAATAATATAAAATATTATTGTTTGAGGTGGTGTTACAACCTCAAACTCTTAGCATTTTTTAAACTATAACCGTTCAGAAAAAAATATAGATAGATAATAATTAAAATAAAGTAGGAAATGAAAGATCTTTATGTCCAATAGTAATTATAGAATAATATTGCTAATGATATATGATCATATATGATCACATCTTATATCAATTTACTACTAACTGATTATTTATTAGAGTAATTTTTTATTATTAATAAATATCAACATTTGTATTTAATTGGAAAAACATTATTTTATGAAAATAATATTTTACCAACCTATTAGGAATTGTTGTTTCTAGAAATAATAATAAAGAGAACAAAACTAATTAAATATCATATGATATGATTATTAATGTTGTGTACAACATTTTTATTCACTTAGATTAATCAATTAGTTACATCTCAACTAGCTAGTTTATACCTTGAGTGAATAACACGCCTTGTGTCCTCTTATTCTTCTTGAAGTCGTAGACTCCACATGGAGTGGGTTGTTTGAGTGTTTGATTTGGTATTGCATCCGATCCTTCCTTACATGGCCTTACTCTCTCATTTAATGATGGTATGGATCTTCCCTTCATGAGTTAGTATATAAAGAAGTGTAAGTAACCAAAAACTTGTAAGTTTTTGCTCATTGTTTTCTTTCTATGAAGGCTGCCAAACCGAGAGCGCCTAAGCCCTTCCCTCTCCTCTTTGTCTTACATTTTGGTGCAAGATTTAATCTTTCATATGTTTCTTCTCTTTAAGGTTCATTTGGTATGAACTCTTAAAGCTTAAGAACAACATACATACAAGTGAAGATTAGCATATATGGGGGTTTATTCTAGCTTGGTAGATACTTGTGGAGAGTTTCTTCTTTGGAGCTTAATGCATCACTTCATCAACTTCAATCTCCCATGAGAATCAAAGACTTCAAATGTTTTAATCTTTTTTTTTTATGGTTGTTTTAATCTTCCTAAGCTTTACAAAATGATCATTGGTGGGTAAAATTGTTTTCGTTTATTCAAATGTAAAATCGCTTCCGTAGCTAATCACGTCGAAATTGACACTATAATCAGACTATTTTTTTTAGTAAAACCTAACAAACGGTAGTTGGAAAATGATGGTCCAAAGTTGCGCCTCGCAGCACATACGCAACAGTTTTTAAGTTCGAAGTTTTTTAAAAAAAACAAACATCTGCGAAATGTCAAGTGTTGCGCTTGTTCTGCGCGGCGCAACCAAAAGTGGTCAGAATTGGTTATATTTAAAAAAAAATAGCCTCTAAAAGTGTTGTCACGTAGGCACCACCGTATTTTTGTCACATATCTTCAACATCTGCCATTTATGAGGGGTGTGTTTCCACGTTTGTCATGCATCATTTTTTAAAAATAAAAAAATATTTTATATTAAACTAAAATTTTCATCAAAATACCAAGAACAAATACACTTGAAATTAAAAGACAACAAACTTAAAGTTAGAAACACACAGGACACTAGAAATTAAAACATACGAAACATTAAAACAAGCTTCAAATTAAAATAAAACACAATACAAGTTCATTTGACATGTTGACACAATTTGTCGCACCGCATCACAACTTGCCAAAACTCAACAAAGTGTAAATATTTGTTAGTTTCTTCACAGAAAGTCTCAAGAGCATTGACCAACAAAATTCTTTCATTTTCACCATGCAATGCTTCACGCCTTACCTTAAGAAACACAGTTTGAAACTGCTTTTGTATGTCTCCATTTTGAGAAGAGTTGATCTTTACTTCGAGGTCGACCGACTTCACGGTTGTATCTTTGGGATACTCTCCTCCATAAAGTAAGCTTATCGACGATGATGTTGATTGGCTCTTCAGTTACATTGATCCATGAACGAGCCAATATGATTTCTTCATTTGTTATTCAAATACGAGCTTTTTTTTTAGATGGGGTTTTGAATAAGATGGAAAATAAAAAGGTTAGGAGAGTTGAATTAAGAATGTTTGAATGGTGAAAAATAAAACAAGGTGTTAGTATTTATATTAGTTAAGGAAATGTTTAAATTTTGAATTTTTGAAAAATAAAACGGTTGTATTTTGAAAAATAGAATATTTATTTGAAATTACATTAAATGCTTAAAATTGAAAAAAAAAACAAATAAATAGCTCAACGTTTCTCTCTCATTGGTAGTAGCTCGCCAAGTTTAGCCACCGAACTTGTCATGCCGAGGTGGTGACGTGTTGTGTACCGAGGTCAGCTCGAATGTGTCGAGCTTCATTGAAGTCGACTCCATGCAGCCTTATATACACTTTAAATGTTGTACTAGTTTTATATAGTCTAAAAAGTAAAAAATATTAAAAAGTTGAGCAGCCAATTATATTAAATTGAAAAATATTACTAGTTTTATTGATAACGGTATCCATTGTAACGGACCTATCATTTTTTAGTTTTTTCTCAGAACCAATAAAATTAGCTGTAAAAAATTTATACATACAGAATTTCTGTTTTGTAGAAAATACGTTTTTCCTTTATATTTTCTCAGGAAGTTATAGTCAAGAAAACATATAACACAGCCACATAGGTAATATATGTTTTGTATCTCGCCTGAATTTGTGATATTGATTTCTTACATTATCATTAATCTGATTTTGTGTAACCACAATATGTTTGAAATTGTGGTTATATATGTTTTGTATCTCTTATTGCCTGAATTTTTGATATTGATTTCTTACATTATCATTAATCTGATTTTGTATAACCACAATATGTTTGAATTTGTGGTAATATATGTTTTGTATCTCTGATTGCCTGAATTTGTGATATTGATTTCTTACATTATCATTAATCTGATTTTTTATAACCACAATATGTTTGAAATTGTGGTAATATATGTTTTGTATCTCTAAATATTGATTTCTTACATTATCATTAATCTTATTTTGTATAACCACAATATGTTTGAAATTACAGATTTTGAAAAGTGCTATACACAATCTCAAATTCGTCCAACTTCATATTGATATTCATTAACCCATTTTCTAACACCAAATTACAAGATTGTATGTGAATGGCTGAAATGTCTCTCATTGTTGGTATATAGAAATCACTTAGAGTAAGAAGTCATTGTAAACTTTAATTAAATTTGTATACATTATCTTAAAAAATTATAACATCTTGGAGTCATTATCAACAGTTGTTCATGTTTCAATTTTAATGGGTTGTTTGCTTTCGAGTATTGTATATAAACTCTTGTGAGTTCTCATAATAAATAATAAATTATTAATAAAATACAATCCATATATACATTACTAGAACGAATCCCAAAAGAAAGGTCCACATATCATAATATAGTGTGCCCAGAATTAAATGTTCGTCACATCATTAAGCCATAAAACATAGGGGAGTATATGATGCACATATTTTTCCAAACAAATTGGAACCTAACAAGTAGCAAGCACATAAATACATAACATATATCCTATTTTTTTTATAAATAACATGAAAAAATCAAACAATTATATGTGGTCCTAAGTTTGGCTTACAGACGTATCCGTGGGTGTCCATACATGTCCCCTTGCCTACAGGTCATATATGTCGTTTAATAATAGTATTTTATATCAAGTCATTTAT